CTCTAGTGTAGTCATTTTTTAAAAATTCAACATTTAGAATTTTAAAGAAGAAAGAATTAGAGAAAGGCAAGAAGAAAGAGACAAGAGGAGGAAAATGTACATGTATCTTTGAAAATAACTTTGTAGAGTAAGTAAGAGTATCTCCATAAAGAAACAAATCTTTAGGAAATCAGTTAATGAAACTAAATAAAACGGCCATAGACATTTGTTAGTGAGTTAATCCTCAAACTATCATTCCCCTCTGCCAAATTTATAAGACATAATCCGCATGGCTACATCCAGTTATCTTTTAAGGTTTTTGTGTATGGAATTATTCATTTTATTTTATGAATTCTTTTTTTTTTTTTTTCCAAATTGACCAGACAGACAGAGAGAGATCCACCAGGTCCAGGACTTAAACTATGGTCAGCCACCTGGAACTGTCCAGTGCCTTAACCACCACACAACCTGTCAGTCTTAGCTTTTTTTTTTTTTTTTTTTTTTAAAGAGAGATTTTTGCTATAGGGCACATATGCTCACCAGAGAGACAGAGAGAGACAGAAAGTGAGAAATCACCTCCAATGGGGAATGGTCACGCTGCAATTCCTTCTCCTCTATTCTCCTATCAGGATCTTAGGTACGCATGCACACACATATCCCCGGAGTCCAAGCTGCTGGGTCCAGGACTTGAACCACGGTTGACTACATGGGAATCTAGTACCTTAACCACTATGTGGTTTTAGGGCACTTTACAACTAAAAATATCAGTACGTGGACATCATATACCACATGTCAAATGCAGTATATTTCAGATTGTCAAATATAACTGAAAAAATGGGTATGTTTAACAGTTTCGCCTCCCCACACCCCATGTTATTGTCACAGGGGCAGGTATGCTCACTACAGACAAAAAGAGGGAGAAGGAAAGTGAGAAATCACCCCCTGGGTCAGATGTCCATACTGCAATCCCTTATCCTCCATTCTCCTCTCAAGATTTTGGGCACGCACACAAGTGCCCAGCATAATTTTCAAGCCACCAGGCCCAGGACTCAAACTGTGAATCGCCATGTGGGAGTCCAAGGCCTTAACCACCACACCACCAGCTGGCCCCTAACAGTTATTTTAAATATAAATTTAGCTATGTATCGCAGATGTCTCAGGCATCAAAGAGCATTATAGCATGCTATGCAGTCTGCCAGCTCCCTATCTCCTGACAGATGGGTCTTCTCTTACTCCTCAAACAGCAACTTCAGTCTTGTCTCAGGACTGTTACACATGCTGTTCTTTCTGCGCACAATATTCCTCCAACCCCCATTCTTCTTCTGCAACTCATCAGAGCTAGCCTAACCACCTGTTATTTTTCTGCATGAAATACTACTTTCTCCTACTTGGCACTTATTAAAAATTGTAATTATACATTTATCAGTCTATTTACTTGTTTAATATCTCCCCCACTGAATCATATAACCAAAAAGGGCAGATTTACATGTCTATTTTGTAGACCACTGAGAACTAGCATTTAGAATAAACTACAGATTTCAAGTTTATCTGCTAAATGAATAAAGATAGGCCTTAACAGCTGGATAGTATAACCTCCAGATTTAGTTATGGTGTGTGAACTTTAGTGAGAATCTTATTCATTACTTGTTTGGTTACAGAATGTTCGTACCCCCCCCCCCACCAATTCCAATAAGAATTGTAAAAATAGAGAAACTGTCTCAGAAAATAGCCTGAGTGGTTACTTGATGATCTCAATGTGCATTCAGTGCTGAGAATCACTGCAAATCAAAAGTTCATTCCTCCAGATCCCCCAGAGCTCACTTTTACAAGTACTTCTATGGTCTGAATTTTCTTTTGGTGTCAAGTCTAGAAAAAGTTGTAAGAGACTTAAAGAAAGTCTTGCTCTCCTAATTTGTCTTAATCTGGGTTTCTACCTCTAACGAGGCCACAATATCCAAATATACAAAATGCTAATGACTAGAAGTGTACAGCTGTAACCCAAGGCTGAAATGCACTTATGTGAAAGGGCCGGAAGAAGCTATTTTTCTCCAACCAAAATAAACATGAAGGTCTGGAGAGCCTGTCTTGAATGTGAAGAAGTCAACTCGTTCTTAACACTCATTACATGAAGTAATGTAATATAAACAATACAACCTGTGGTTATAGGTAGGCCTCCAAATAACACTCAACAAAGAAGTATTTATTGAGTGCCTACTATATACTTGTACACTGATTTACTCATTTCATTCCCAGGATGTAGTCAATGCGCCCATTGTGCTCATTAACTACTGGGTCGTCTGAAAAGTCCCGACATGTTTTTGCCCAGAAAAACAGAAAATACACTGTGACTTTTCTGACAATCCAATAGATGGTATCTACTCTCCTTGGGCCTCAGAATGGTTCCCCAGTTCCAGACCTTCTATAACAGTACTGCACAGATTGGATTTCTAGACAGCCCATATACATTCCCTATCTATTAGCCCACAAATAAGCAGGAAAAACAGCAAAAATACATTTTTAATTGTATTACTCTAAACTGCATAATCTAAATTTTTTGCAGACCCTATTTTTTTTATTGCTGATAGAAAAGAAAGGAAAAAAATAGAGATGTAGAAAAATAATAGTTGTAAAACAGTAGTAGTAGAGAAGAAAATATTCACTTTACATTGTTGTTGAATTTTAAAAGACTAAGTATGCCTGGAAATAAAAATCACACTATAAACAAATGGTTTCTGAATTCCACAACATTCTCAAGTAGGTCACTAATATTTCTCGTACTTTATTCCTCTCCGTATGTTATTCTATCGCTTTCAAATGCAGTTCCTAAATCTAATACTCTTTTTCTACAGACCCTTTTTAAATGACTGAGAATACCACCAAGAAAGAGAATCCTCCCAAGTAAACGTACTTGGCTATAGTACTGATACTTTGGCCCACTGGCAATCAAGACGGATTTGGGTTGCAGTCAGTAAACTAGATTTCTCCATGTCCTTTTACATGTCTCCAGCTACATAAAAATAATGGTTAAGTAAATTCTACAGCTAGGAAATGATGTCTAAACCTATAAATAGATAGTAAATTTTAATTAAACTAATTAGAAAAAAAATGTGACCAGTAGATGGCATAGAGGTTATGTTGCTGGACTCCCATATAGTTGATCGTGGTTGAAGTCCCAGACCCACTGGCTTAAAACTCAGGCTGGGTGTACATGCACGCCCAAAATCCTGAGAGGAGAATGGAGGAGAAGGGACTGTGGTATGGCCACCACCCTGGGGAGTGATTTCTCACTTTCTGTCTCTCTGTCGAATGCATGCGCTATATAGCAAAAATCTCTCTTTTAAAAAAAGTTATTAAGCTTTAGTTGGCATGATAGCTACTTGAAGGAAGTTGGAAAATAAAGCAAACAGCAATTTGTGTCCAAATAAACCAAAATCTTAGAAAATGTATTTGATAGTCTTACTACCACACATTTCTTCATTTTAATTATTTTTCTAAAAAATTCTATAGTTTGATAAAAATAACTTTTTGGAAAGTTCCAATCTGTCAGTTTCTACACTGATAAATAATGGGCTAGCCTGTTAATTTGCAAGCAAGTTTATGAAAACAGCAATGAACAGTCTTGTTAGCCAATGAACAAATGCTAATTTCTCCTGCTCACTTAGGAAAAGATTTTTACTTCCTCCTAGCAGGAGAGATTTATAAGTATGAAAGGACATCAAATAGGCATATAGCTGGGCACTTTTGACATCTGAATTGTAAGTTAAACACAATTTCCAATCTCACATGCTAATCTATTATTTAACATTGGTGTACATATATCTTGAACTTCACATTATGAAATGTTAAGCTGAAATGGTTTGTTATATTACGGTCATCAAGAATTACTAAAAAATAGAAATAGAGCTTTGTGATATATATGTTGAACACTTTAATAATAAAGAACAAAAGCGTAAGTGAAAGAAAATAGTAGTATCTCTAAGCAAAGAGTAGAGTTGCTTTTGATTCGGTGCTACAAGAGAACATTAAGACTTGTTTAAAAGTACTCCTAATTCAGGATCTGATTATCACCTTATTCAGAGAACTACAATTACCTCTTTGTTTCAACACTGTCATTGCCAAGACAATGGATCCTACAATTATAATGCTATACTTGAAACCAATGAAGGAGAAAGCATCTTATATAGCATATATTCATCTAAAAATAAACCAAGAGTACGGTAATTATCTAAAGGTATAATAACTAAAGAAAAAATAATGGTTGCACCTAAGTATCTAAGTTCAAAGTAACCTGGGAATTAACAACTGCTTAACTTATTATATGATGCTAAATCTTTACATATATAATCTTAAGACAAACATCTTAAAGATCTTGAGTAATATCATGGGGCCAGCAGGTGGCATGGTGGATAAGGGCGCTGGACTCCCACATGACTGACTGTGGTTCAAGTCTCAGACCTGGTGGCTTGCGTTCTCTCTCTCTCTCTCTGTCCCTCTCTGGTCAAATTAAAATAAAGTTTAAAGAAAAGAAAAAAGATCTTAAGTAATTCCTTCATAGATTAACTAAAATGAGAAAGGCTTTACTGTGGTTTTTAACCTTATTTTATTGATAGTGGCATCAATGAAGCAAAAGGTTCGAAAGCCAAAATGTTGGCATAGTGGTAATGCAACTGGACCTAAACAGAAAGGTCTTGGGTTCACGTCCTAGAAACTCCCTGAGCATGTCAGGTGTCTGATCAGGGCCAGGTGAGAATGGGAGTGGAGTAAGGCATATAGACCCTATTGGAGGCCTATTTCTCTCTCTGTGTCTCTCAAAGAAAAAATATTGGGTTGTCAGAAAAGCCATGACATATTTTTCAGTTTTTCTATGCAAAAATGTGTCATGACTTTCCCAATGACCCAGTAAATAAACTGGACCAGAAAAAGATTCAAAAACAAGAAAGAAAATACTTTGTAAGTCATCTTGCCTATTTATACTTCTACTATACATAATATCAAAAATTTGAATTTATAAATCATAGTACCTGAAACTGAACTCTTGGACACTGAATCAGAGACAAGTTAGTGCCAATTTTCCTTACGATACTTCGAGATGAACCATATGGTTTTCCAGACCAAAGTACCTAAGGAGCAAAAATCAAAAATTTAATTATAAAACTTATAAATTTGCTAATACAAAGCACTGGACAATGAAACTGCATGACATGCTAACATATTAATTACAGGAACAGAATGCTCTAAATGTTATGAGAAATAAGCTAATATTTGTCAACTCAAAATGAATACATATAGCTAGTTACTATTAGGCAATAAAGTTTAATTTATTTAAAAAAACAGAACAGCAATAATTTTTAAATAATCCTATATTTGGAGTAAAAACTTTTATTTCCTGATTTTTATACTGTTCTGCAAAACACTATTTTTACCTCTTTTGCTTTGTTTTTAGTTGCAGACTTTCAATACAAATAAATTTAAAATATGGGCTACTTTTGCTATAATGGACTTTGCAAAACAAATCCAAAGCAAAGAATCAAAGTTCAGAATCTGAATGTGCACCAGCATGCTGCCAGCCACAGAAGAGCACCTGGCCGAGGCCAAACAGGCGCTAAAATCCAGTCACACTGCTCACCACACACTGCTTGTGAGGCCTGTCACCAGAGGAAAAGTACTTTGTCTCATTGCACAAAGGCACTTATATGAGCTAGTAGTGCCTCTGCTGAGAATACCTCAGATGAAATAATAATACATAGGATGTTACGTTATGCTGAAAGCAAAAACAAAAACCTCCACAGCAAAAAATAAACAAAAAAACACACATGCAGAAAGTTAAATCATTATTAAATTGTACCTTACAACCTCCCCCCAAGTACATGATCTTTCCCCAAAAAAAAAAAAAAAACTACCCATGTGTTTTAAGTGCTACACTTGAAAGCCCGGACAAAAGAAATAAAGAAAGGCAGTATGCTATTTAGAGCAATTTTAAAAGGAAAGAGTCAAAATGATATGACTATTAAACTTAAGTCAAAAGAATTTTAAAATTAAATTATATCCTCAAGACTAAAATAAACAGTACTAAACCAGTAGGGTATGAATTCCAAACAATGAACACCATCTTTTTTTAAGGTTATCCCATGGCCAGTTTAATTTAAAGAAAGAAATTACGCTTACACAAATAGTATGACCACATGATTGGTCACTATGAACAGTGGATGGTTCCCACATCTAACACAAACCATACCCTTTGACATTTTAAAAGCATGTGCATCTTACAACATGAGCATAGAAGTAATGATTTCTTAGATTTTAGCAACTAAATCCAACTTAGGAATAACAGTATGAGTCAAAGTGAGGTTCGAGAGGATATAATATCCCTGGCATCTGCTCAGTATTTATCACATATGTTCAAGGTTTCACTGACACCTAGGAGAGTTCCTCGAAGTATTACAATCTACATTGGCTAGGACACCAACAACATTATAACACTTGCTTTGGAAATGCAAATAAAAGATGGTGCAGGCCCAGCATAATGGCAGAGGCACTGGGGTGCTGCTGCATAATACTGGAACAACATCGGAGGTCTGGGTTCAGATCTCAAGTCCATCTGAACACAGGATGCACTTCATGGCATGGTGAGACACTATTGAGGTTACCTGTCTCTCTTTCTTGTCTCAGTGTCTTTCTCAAGAAAAGAAAGAAACAAACTGGAAAAAAAATTAGATAGTACAGATGATCAGTAGGAAGATATCAGTATTATTGTAAAATGTGAATATCATATGAAGAATTTAAGAGGGGGACCAGCAGTTAGTCTAATGGCTATGTCACTGAACTCTCATGTAGCCGACCATGGTTCGAATCCCTGACCTGGTGGCTTAAACTCATGCTGTGCCCGTGTGCATGCGTGTCCAAGATCCTGAGAGGAGAATGGAGGAGAAGGGATTGTGGTGTGGCCATCCCCTCTGGGGGGTGATTTCTCGATTTCTATCTCTCTGTCTCTCTCTGTCTTTCTGGAAAACACACGCGCCCTATAGCAAAAACCTCTCCAAAAAGAAAAAAAAAAAAGAATTTAAGAGGGAGAATTACTCTGAGACTTACAGCAAACATCATTCACAATAATAATGACTCAGAAGGTTATCATATTAATAGTCTTAATAATACTTGAGGACTAAGAGAAGGAAAAAAATCTTACTTGAGGAAAATGGGAAGCCTCACAGTTCTACAAAGTCAATAGAACAGTCCTTTCAGCCCCTTTCCCTCAAAAAACATAGGCAAGTAATTCTAAAACAGATGATGTTTAAGCAAACTCTTTATATCCTACACTTTAATAAATCTGGGTCTTTTAAAAATAAATCAATAGGGCAATAGAATTTATACCATTCAGTTCTCTCTCTTCTTGAATATTCTATTTAATCACAAGTTGAGACTCTCCTATGACATAGGAGAAGTGGAATGCTATTTGTGTATTACAGTGTAACAATTACACAGTCTAAAGTGAATAGCCCTCTTCTGCAGTTGGCAAAGATTCTGGGTAGAAAGGAAGAGGAGTAAAAGCTCACAAAGACAAATTTAGAAAGGAAGTGCCAAGGTCAGGAATTAATGATTCTTTTTGGCATTCTTCACTATGCAAGCTGTAGGGCTAAGCTTCAACAATGATCTTTCCATCTGTCTAATATCATAAGTAAAGAATACTTGGGCCAATCAGTGATGTGGTGGCTAAGGAGGCCAGAACCCACCTGGTTAAATGCACGGTTCTAGTACTGAACCTGGTGGCTTGAAAAACACACAAGGAGATTATGTATGCATGCCCAAAATCCTGAGAAAAGAATGTAGAAGAAAAGATGGTGTGGCCATCTCCCATGGTGGTGGTGGGGGGTGCTTTCTCACCTTCCCTCTGTTCTCTCCAATGAGCACATGAGCACTATGCAAACTTAAAATAACAAGAAAACACAAAAAACCAGGTGACTTCTGCAAGAGAAATGGCCAATGATTCAGCTTTTAATTATAAAAAAGGTAGACTATTTAGATTTCTTCTACAAAATAAAAGAAAAAACAGTGCTTTATGTAATTATTTTTTCAAGCACAAACAGTAAACTAACATTATGATGTTTTTCTGTTCCTTGTGAATTACACAGTATTTATTACCAAGAAATATGATGAAAGAGCCTGTATAATCTAATAATGACCAGGACATTTAGGAAGAAGAGCTACAACCTTTACTGGATGTTAAGAAAAAGTAAGAGGAAAGAACAACTTTCAGGAACTTTAAAACTAGGTTTTAGTACTTATTTCTATTTTTTTAATTCAGCCCTCATGGAGGGAGAGAAATTATAAATGGCTGTGAAGAAACAGTGAACAGATGGTACTAAAAAGTCACCATCTGTGCACTGGGAGGCTGTATGACCCACGTGAATCTCCTACCCTCACTGGTGGCTGAACCGTGTCTTGTCGGTATAGTGGTTTGGAGAAGGGAAGACTTCCTCAAAAGATAAGCTGCCATTAATATTTCTCCAGGTATAAGTAGAAAGGCAGGAAGAAAACTGTCATTACTAGGTAATTCAATCTCATTAAGAAAGAAGACAATTCCATTCCATTAAGAAATAACATAAAAAAAACATGCTCTGCTTTAGCTATAAAAACTGCTTATAAATAATCTAATAATATATCTATGTGTGTGTATGTGTATGCATGTCTCTGTCTAGTAATGACAGTCTATAACATTTAGCAATAGTGTTTGAAAGTGATGATAGCAAGAAGATGACAACAGGACAGCAATTTGCTCTTTTTTAACATTATGAAATGCTACTGTAGAAGTGTTGACGTGTGAGGCTGGAATCTGAAGTTGTCATCTGTCTGGCCCATGGTGACTGCACTTGTGCTTTATGTGAGATTTATTATAGACTAATTTAATCTATATTTTTATCTGAAAGAAATGATTTAGCAAAAAATCCCCCAAAAAACTATACATTTAAAATATTGTTCTCAAGACATCTGTGATATTAATGCAAAGGTTCACATATCCCTAAAGTTACACCCAAAACTGTGAATTAATGTGGTATTTTGCTGGGAAGAAAGTGCATGTCAACAATCAAAATTTTAAGGAGTCTCAGACCAGCAAAGTATAAAATCTTGGGGATCAGCAAGAAGTGTGGTTAAGATGCTAGACTCCCACACGGGAGACCGTGATTTGAACCTAGTGGACCTAGTGGCTTGAAAATCATGCCAGTGTGCCTAAAAACCCCGGGAAAATGGAGAAAGGACTGCAGTATGGCTGTTACCCCTGGAGGGTGCTTTCTCACTTTTTTTCTCTTTTTTTCTCTCTCCCCCCCAGTGAGCGCATATACTCTAGAACAAATTTAAAGAAAAAAAGAGAAAGAAATAACCGTAACTGAATGTACCTGCACTATATACAAGCCTTTGTACTGGGTGCTTTACAAACACTGACATCTAATCCCTAAGCTAACCTCGCAGAGACAAATTTCAAAACCAGGTTTAGTTTACTAGAGAACACGCAGGGCCAGATGGTATGATGGTTATAGTGCTGGGTCCCACATGGGCAACTATGCAGTTTGAGTCCCAGACCCAGTGGCTTGAAAAACATGTCAGGTGCATGTGTGTCCAAAAGTCCTGAGAGAAGAATGGGAGAAGGGATTGTGCATGGCCATTCCCTCAAGGGGTGATTTCTCTCTTCCCCTTCTGTCTGTCTCTCTTTGTCTTTCTGGCAGGTGTAAGCACTCTATAGCAAAAACCCAAGGAAAAACAAACAAAAAACTCAAAACATCTCTGGCATTGAACAACCAACCATATTACACTAGTTTTTTCCCTTCCTATTACAGTTGCTATATTTTATGAGGTATGACTTACCTTTTACTTTAAACAATTGCATGATAAATCACATAACTGCCTTCAATATTATAATTTTACAACATTAAGAGTTGTATATGGCAGTCAAATTTTATTCAATGATTTCTTTATATATCAATAGTTGGCTTTTTCTTCACTAATAACAAGTGCATGACTACTGGTAAACTTTCACTATAATAGAGAAAGTTTCTGCCTTACTTAGGATGCTGGAAAAAGATTGACTTCTATGATTTAAACAGTAAGCAAACTAAATAGTAAATAAACATATTGAATTCAAATGTTGGTTGATCATATATAGATTTCATTTTCTCAGAAAAAATTCTTAACATATCTGAATGTCTGGATTTTAAAAATGAATTCTGAGTACTCACCGATTGCATGCTTACTCCAACTTGTTGAAAAACCATCCTAATTAGGCGCTTAATCCAGCCAAGCATTTAGATGGCAAAGTCTCCCCACATTTGCATTTCAAGTATTTCAGGCATACATAGCAGCACATGGTCCATAAAGCACACTGAAAATTTAAATGCAAACACTAAAATAATTATTATTTAAAGTCTTAACTGTCTATGTGTCTCTCAAAGAAAGCCTAAAGCATTTTAAAACTTTGTAAATTAAAAGAAAACAGGGGCCAGGTGGTAGCACAGATGAACTCACAAAGGAGGGGCTCTGGGTTCACATTCAGGAACTTCCCTGAGCATGTTGTGCACCCATGTGTTTGCCAGTAATGCAGGCTAGCTGAAACTGGGAGTAAATTGCAGTATAAAGACCCTGTTGGGGGTGGCTGTATCTATCTGCCTGTCTGTCCCTCTCTCTCACACACCGAAGAAATAATCTTAAAAAAATGTTCTTTAATAGGGTTAGCCCTGTAGGGCAGATAATAATTTCTTTTCCTCCACTTACATAAAGTAACTATAACAGTACAAGATTTTTTGAAGTATTTTTTCTAATTGAAATTGTCGGTTGAGAGCAACAAAAGCCTAATGTTATTCACTTAAATGAAAAAGGTATTTATAAAAATATACCTGGTAGATAATAATCTTCAGCATGAACCCAATTTATAAGCTATACAGCCAGGAAAGGTGTCCAACACTGCAGCAGACCTGGTCCTTCCTAGAAGACACCACTACAACTATGACTGCCACCAAGAACAGAACAGAGTCCATGTAGTTCTTGTCTGTGTCAACAGCTCCAGAATCTCTGTCTAGGCTGGTGCAATTGCTTGGCTTAGTTTAAAGCTCATGTGTCCTAGTAAAATGGAGGCTGGGAAAGTAATAGACGTGCCCAGCTATAGATGTTAAGTAGGTTCTGTTTACCACCGACAAGACATGAAGAAAGGAATTCCAAAAACACACCACAGAAATTTAGATATTAAAAAGGTAAAAAACAATGACAAAGTCCTTCTACGCACACTGGAACCATAACCACCATACGAAGGTAAATAACAAATTACCTTCCATTTGTACAGAGACAAACTGAAGCTTAGCATCGAATACTTGTAAATGGCATAGTTAGGACTCAAGCTACATGTTTAGATAAAAGTTTGTGCTTTTATTAATACAATACTACTCTCGAAAGGGAACTTTTAAGTATTTTGTGGGAACCCACTGGAAATTTTGAGTGTTTACCATTTTTTGTATTTCCATATAGCAATCCTACTCAACTCCAACATGTTCATATTTTAAATTAGTGAAATAAAATAGCAAAGTTTCAAGGTGTTGGACTTGAGTTTATGCCCCTGTTGTGCCACCTACCAAATGGTAAGTACAAACAAATTAATTACCTTCAGATAGTAACAGTGCCTCACAGACTTGTGAGAATTGGAGATAATATATAAACCATATCAGTTAAAATATTAAAAGAGTAGGCTGGTATTAGCAGGA